AGAGGAAAAGAAAGGATTTTCAGGAGTGGCGACAAAGAAGTGAAGGCCATCCGTGGATCTGGTCAGGAATACCATAATGATTCAATGAAAAGCCCAGCTACGTCACTGAAACCAAACTGTGATTGCAAGAGCTGAGCTTTGAAATGTAAAGGGCAAATGGCTCTGGAGGAAGACCGACACATTAATTTTGATTCAGTGTGGTCCTCTCATGGGATGAAAAAAAATGTCTCTTTATTGGACTAGTGGACATAGACCAACCTCAGAGGAGGTATTCAGAAACTAACCAGAAAGGGCATACCTTCAAATTCACATTTAAAATGGTCATAAGGTGCCAGTGTATAAAAAAATGTTCCTGCATTCAACTGGGTTGAGTGAAAGATTTGTAAGAAACATTTAGAACCAATTATCAAAGAAACTCAGATATCTACAAAATGTATGCACAATTCTGCCAAGACCACGGGAGGCAGACTCTCAACAGACACCCCCCCCCCCCCAATCAATGAAACAATCAGGCAGAATAGCCTGTCTTGTTCATGCCAAAGAAAGATATGTGAGACCTATGCATTATCCCTGAAGGTGGCAACGTGCGGAGGATTTTTGGAATGCTCACATTCTAGAAAAGGGGCAGCGCGCAAGGAAATGGAACGAGACAAATCTGAAGCCATCAAATATCTCGCCAGTGATGAACCTAAAATGGCGCATGTTTTCTATGGATCTTCAGCTTGTGCTCCTTACACTTACACCCAAACTGAATGCATCAGCTTTATATTACAAAACAAAGCGTGCCGTTCATAACTTTACGATATTTGAAGCTCCAACACATCAGATTACTTGTTACGTGTGGCATAAAGCAGAAGGGGGAATTAGTCAATAAGTTTGCTTCATGTCTACTGATTTTCCTGAAGGAAAAGCTGCACTTCCAGAAAACCATCATCGAGAGCGACCGCTGTGGTTACCAATACAGAAATGCCAAACTAGCCAATGTTTCTCTCAGCCTGTTTGCAACAACACATGGTAGCGCAATTGAAAAGAAATGGTTGATCAAAGGACACACAAATATAAGTTGACTGTGCACTCAACTATTGAAAGATCAGTTCGAAAAGCACGAATCGAGGTCGCCCTGAGCTACCTCCATTTCTTCAGGATGGCCAGAGAAAAACCAGACATTATTCTAAGTGAGGAAGCCACAAGTCTATCAGACCAGGCAGAAAAACGGGTCATCCTGTTGTCACCGACATCAGGTGTTTGAAGTACATCCCAGACATGAACATCCAGTTCAAGCTGCTTTTAAGTAATGAATGGGTTTACGTTCCGAAGGCAAAACACAGAAACATGAGGTCCATCCTGCTACACCACTGAACACAGAACGTCTTAAAATCCAGCACTCCCAAGTACAATCACCTGTAGGAGCATGAATCTGTTATTTCCAATGTACGTCATCACTTTATGACATTTTACGCCGTTATCATTAATGGCTATTCATAATGGGGGGTTTTTTCAGTCCCAGACATCGTACTGATCTTTTTGGTGGGGTTTTGTCTGCACATACGTTATGTATTTTCATAATTAACACAATTAGTATTCATGACCCACAACCTATTATTTGATTGACATCTTCCATTCGTTTTTCAAAGCAGTGTGTGTGTGTGTGTGTGTGTGTGTGTGTGTGTGTGTGTGTGTGTGTGTGTGTGGTGTGTGTGGTGTGTGTGTGTGTGTGTGTGTGTGTGTGTGTGTGTGTGTGTGTGTGTGTGTGTGTGTGTGTGTGTGTGTGTGTTCTTAATAAATTTAGTAATGGACTGACGCAGTAAAACTTTGAAAATCATGTCTATATTTTTATCTACATCTATTTCTTACCATTGTGAAAGCCATCTGCAGTGTAACCAGAGATCATATTGCAGAGATATACTATTCATTTGTGCTTTTTTGTAAAATGAAAGTAACCAGATCTAATCCTGGAAAATTATATTGAAACAGAATGCACAAATCGCTGATTCGTTTGAGGTTTCAAACCCAAATTCTGCAGATAACACACATTTATTTGACTTCAGACTCAGTTGGCCGGGAATCTAACTCTAAACTAATTGGTCTTGAAGAAACATCTTCATCACTTTGTGGCGTTCCAAACTACAAATGCATACTGCAACCAAATGAGCTGCGAGAAAACTCGCAACCCTCAAACTCTGTCCTGATGAAACCTCGCAACCCTCCCGCCGGCTGATTACGAGGTTTCATCATGACAAAATGTTGTAATGAAACCTCGCATCGCACAGCATAACCATTTAAACAATAGAAAAGTTATTTTTTTGCTCTAAGTTTCAAAGGTGTTTTCATTTATCTGTACCAACTTTGGTTCATATAGATCTTTTTGTTCACGAATAAATAGGTTTTTTGTCTCTCCTGTAAAATTTTCCTTTCTGGGGTTGCGAGGTTTCATCACTCCACCAGCGATATATAGCCTAGCTTCTGATATTAGCTTATTTTAATTTGATTTTAATTTTACATGAAGTTAACATGAGTTGTGCATATGTAATTAGTCGCTACATGCTTTGCTTTTTTTCCTCCTGCACACGGCAATTACACAAGACAGATCTAAATGAGGCAAGACTGGCAGCAGTTTGTGTCTAGCCTCTTGTCTCTACCAGTTTTTTGGTAAGTGTTTTACTGCGCTCTCAACTGCATAAGGCCATATGAGCGTGCGGGACACATTAAACATTTTGAGTTGATAGAAAATTTTGAATTTTGCTCAGGTGGTGGCCGAAGCCTTCTCTTATCAATTTTGGATCTTCAACATATGCAATTTGCACACGCGAACCCCAAAATTTTTCGGCCTTATCCGAGAAAGCTAGGAGTTAGATCTTACCTACCATAAGATCGGGGGAGTGGCTGAAATACAGTAGTAAGAAGGAGCCAAGGAGTAGCAGCAGAAAGACTACAGAAAGAGTCAAGAGCCCAGAGTAGGGGGCAAAGGAGGTGAAGGGGTGGGGGCAGAAAGTGGAACCAAAAGCAGATGATAGAACATTGTTAGAGAGCAAGAAAGGAGGTAAAAGGAGAACATTTTAGATAGAGAAGAAAATGTTCCGGCACTCTCCGAATTCAAACCCAGGACCTATTGAATGAGAGGCAAATTAAGATGGCAATCAGTACAATCAGTTTATCCCTTTATACCACCCCTAGCCCTGCTGAACCGTCAACTGTATGCTCATCCCAAGTAGGCGGTATAATGGGGTTGAACTGCGTAAAACAAAACAAAAAACTAAATTAAAGAAAACTTTCAAAGCTATACACCTTAAACAAAAACAATACAACAATTTTAATATCAAATCTATAAAATCAGAATTGTCTCAGGGGGCTCTCATGGTCTAGAGGTATGTTTTTCACCTCTCATTCAATAGGTCCCGGATTCAAAACCTGACAGTGACGGAAAATGTTCTCTAAAAAAAATGTTGTCCCCTTTGACCTTTCACCTCCTTTCCTGCTCTCTTATCATGTTCTGTCTTCACTCTCTGCCTCCCCTCCCCCCCTTTTTGCCACCCTCCTGTAAATCCCTGTCTCTATTCTGCTGCCTTGCTACTGCTACTCCTTGGCTCCTTCTTACGGCTGTCTTTCAGCCCGGAGCTTATCGGAACGGCGTAAATACGTAACGACATAATTTTTGTTATCGGAACGGCGCATACGTTTTCTTTGATCATGATAATCTAATACAAGTAGGTTCAATTTCAGACATGAAATCGACCAAATACTTAGTGTACATGTTTCTCTGCTTGCGAGTCACGAGTCCCACACTTTACCAGTACTTACTGACTGTGTGTCTCGTGTTGAGTACAAGTGTCTGTAAAGTCACGTGAATCCACAACTATTTGTGAACTGCTTGCTTACAACTGGTGTGGTTGTTATGATGTGCGCATGCCTTCTAAAGGCTCATTTATGTATGTGTGTGTGTGTGGTTTTAATGTTTAATATTTAAGGAAAATAGGACACTGTGGAGTCGCGCGACCCTGTTATGTTTTCACTACACACTGTCTAGGCACTATATAAAACAAGTTATGTGTTGAAGTCATTCCCTGTCTAACCATGGAGAAGTACACCACGCGAAAAGGCAAAACGGGCATCCCTCAAGATGAAAATGACAACGAACAGAAAACATAAAGCTGACAGGGACTTTGAAAAAAAAAAAGATTCGAGTTAATAACCCACTACAAAAAGTTTTCTCCATAAAATTGCCTACAAAATGCTGCCAATTTTAAACTTATGAATGATTTTTAATCAGATTTTTAACAAACTTTTTATATACAAGCACCCATAAAAATCATTCTAATGCGGCCTTTGACAGTCCCAAGCCTGTATGCAAAACGCAGAGGGGAATGGTTTTTTCCTTCGTATTTCCCCATCTTCATGCTTCAAACAAATTAAAAGATATTCTCAAGCCTGCATGACAAACATAATGCAATGATTTATCTGTAATAATCGATTTTATCTTTTCCAATCCTAAAGTAATGCAATGCTGTCGGCAATACATACACCGTTCCAATATACCTTCCCTTTTGTTCTAGGGACAATAAAATTGAAAAATACGTCGTTCCGATATACTGCCCTTTCAGCCACACTCCTGATCTTAGGGTAGGTAAGATCTAACACCTAGCCTTCTCGGATGAGGCAAAAGAAATCTTGGAGATCCCATGCGTAAGTTGCGCACCGTAAAGACCCCTTGGTGGTTCTAAAATCAATAAGAGTATGCTTTGGCCACTACCTGGGCAAAATTCAAAACTAATTCCTATTAAATTGAAAATGTTTAACGTGTCGCGGGCACTCATATGACCTTATGCAGTTGCGAGCACCATAAAACACTTACAAAACAAAAAACTTGTCTCCCAAATACATTCAGCAGTGTGCACTTCAGTACATGCTGAGTACATGTATATTTACTATACTGTTCAAAATGAGAAGCAGAGTTCTATTCAAGCTAAAATTAACTTACAGCTATAGCAACAATCTGAGAATACCTTTGGATGTACAGCTATGCAACTGGCAGCATCCTTGCTGAGAATTGAAGATAAGTCATTGGCAATACGTTCATATTTCAACTTCGGTTCAACTTCCTGAAAAAACATAAACGACATCAAAAGCGATAAGTGGTAATATAATGAAACACGCAACAGAAAACCTGAGAACCAAATCAGACTGTGATAAAGAAGTTCTTCTACACTTGCATCATGACCTAGTCACAGGCAAACCAAAAAATCCATACTTACTAGAAACACTTCTTTGTAGACTACATGAAAGAGGAGTTTATAAGAGTCGTTCATTTACTAATTAGTAATAATAACATTGTTTGAACCGATACTAATTATTATCAAATGATTATTGTGCTATCAGAATTTCATTACCAATAATTGAGCATAGACAACACTATTGTTTTTCGTTTTCATAAAAGAGTTTTATGGCATTTGTACCACAATAAGTGCCGAAGATTAGAGATGTTACAAGGGAGTCATCATCATCCAGTGCCAGATCTGCGACAGACATCGGCGATCATGGTTCTCCATTCATTCCTTTGCTCAGATGCTCTCAAAAAAGCTACTTTCCCTGTTACCCATTTGTTTAGGTTCCCTAGGTAAACGTTGTAACAAACACAAAAAAGAAGGAGGAGAGATAAGGACGATAGAATCTTGATAGGAAAGAAGAAGCAAACCACACCAGAGTACCCTCCAACCTCCAACATTTTTTATATTATAGACAAAAGAAATATAAGTACATTTTATAAAAATAAAAACATACAGAAACAACAATGAAAATAAAACCTAGACAAAATTGAGTTTCTTTTATGTAACCCCCAAAAAAGTCACCTACCAATTGATGTCGATCAGATTTGAACTGAAAATGAAAAGCTGTATTTTAACTCTGAAAGTGAAAGTGTATTTCAACTCATTGTCAGTGGACCATCAGGTCAATTATTTATGTACTATCTCATTTTGTGAGTTGCGCAGAATTGGGTATTTGTCCAGTGTTTTTGAATGAATGCTCATTTTAAGCTCTCATGTCATCTTTTATGTTCCCACTTATTGATTACTGCAAGCATCTGCAGAGAAAATAGAATATAAATATGGTAAAGTCATCTTGCCTGACCTTAAATTCCATTGAATCTGAGTTTTCGTTACAGCAATATGAGCAACAACTTTGTTAGCAATGTAAGGCCCACCATACGACAACTTTTGTATCTAAAGACCAGCGCACAATTCATTGTTCATTAGCTGGGGGAGGGAGGAATATGACTACCGTGCGTCTGTATCCCTGCTGACATTCCAAGTCAGAAACGCTTGTGCCTGCGCCCCCCTCATCATCCCCAGACACATGCACTAACAGATATATGTGCTCGCTGCCTCAACCAACCCCAGCACATGGTAAGACACATAATGTCTTATGTGCATGTCAACAGCCCATGTTTTGTTATGAAAGAAGGCGATTGATGGGTTGCATGAGATTACACAATAGGCCTAGGCTAGGCTAAGAGTGTAATGTAACACAGTGCAAGTGTGGTCTTTTGGAATAGAATAGATAAGATTCGTTGGGGGGGGGGGGGGGGGGGAGCTGCTGTTCATCCTGCAAGTGACTTTTGTTTTATATATTGATTCAAATGAATAGAACAAGAATTAAAAAAAGAAAGAGAATCCATCCCTTTTTTAAAAATTGAATCCAAGTTTCACTGTGCTGGCCAACCTACCTAACACCACTCTTCACGAATTGCCGCTAGGCTTGTAGAGTAAAAAAGAAAAGGGAACATATTACTATCGTGTTAAGAATAAGAATATTGCAACAACCCCATTTCAGCTAGAACATTGTATAAAAAAAGCAACATTATGCAACATATGTGTCAATAACAAAGCTCCCTCCTATCTTAGCAATCTCATACAGATTTATTTATCATGTTTCATCAAGACCACTGAGGAGATCAGGCGATCAGCATCTTTTAAGAGTTTCCAGAAGAGGAGGTAAAAAAAAAATGAGCTGAAAGATCCTTCACCCATCTTGCTCAATCAGTTTGGAGAACTCTATTCTGCAACCCCTGATACACACAACATCAGAGTCTATAAATTTAAGACATACATGTATTTAAAGAAACATTTAATTAAATCATTTCTAACCCAGTGGTTTCATTTTCAGTACAATATTATGTAGACGAATTTTGTATCCATACTATGTATACAAGTATTTTTATGTTAACTTGGCTTGCATCTTTTCTGTGTATTTTTGTTAACTTAAGTGAATATTTAAAAAGTTTTTGTATGGCTCACTCATACTGATGTATCATAATGATAATATAACATGCATGCGTGTGTAACAAGAGGGGAGGTGTGCATGTGTACGTGTGTGTCAATGTGTGTGTGTGTGTGTGTGTGTGTGTGTGTGTGTGTGTGTGTGTGTGAGTGTGAGTGTATGTGTGTGTATGTGTGTGTTTTGCATGCATGAATAAGGGAGGGATGTGTGTGTGCGTATGTCATTTCTTTATGTATATATATATGAGCAATTTTGGTCCTAGTTATTATTTTGTATCTTGATTTACATAAAGCGCCTTGAGGTGTGTGTTCATGGGAATAAGCACTATAAAAATCATGCCTTTCATGATTAATATCAATTATCACAATATATCATCTTACCTCTTCAGTATTATCTGAATCATCATCATCCTCCTCTTCCTCTTCAGAGTCTTCCTCCTCCACTTGAGTTTTTTCCTAAGATTATATGACCAAAATATGAAGAGACAAAATACAAAAGATTCTAACCAAATATTCAAGATTAACATCTCTCCGGCATGAACCCACCATTACTGAAACAGCTCTATGCATTTTTTCGCCATTTCTCAAGATTATGAATTGTGTTTTCTAGGAATTTAATATCATGTGAGGGCCCTTGATTTGCTTCATCTAGTGGTGTAAAAATAGTACATATAAAGACAAGATCTAGTCTAATATTAGCCATGGAACTTGTAATTCTTACCCTGGCCCTATTGAACTATTTTGGCCATGTTTACAGTTTTGTAGTGAACTCTAGATCATACCACCATGTTCGGGTTTTCCCTGTGTTACACCCTTGCGCACTGAATCAAACAGGGAAAACAACTAAGTACACAAAAGATCAGCTGTTAAACGTAAACAATCCAAGTCTGAGTGTACCATCAAATGTGCTTACTAGTTTGGCCCAGTTAGGAGTTAGAAACAGCTGTGTTTGTCAATCAAAGGTAGTAAAGAGTGACAAGAGGGGTACGAGAGGTGGGACAAGGAAACAGAGAAAAATTATGGTGTGTCAGGGGATTCCTCGTGACACTGTTTCTAAGAATAGAACTACGACTACTGTGAACAAGAAAAACCTAATACAGATAGACACTCGTAATGTATTTCAACATAACTGTCCCAACTTAAGAATTGGCTGTATTAACACCCAGTCGTGCTGCAACAAAACAAACATTGTAAGAGACGTAATTGAAGAAATGAACATCGACTTGTTGTGCATCACAGAAACTTGGCTTCGAACAGAAGGCGATGAATCTATCATAGCCGACCTTCTACCACCCGGCTTTGAACTTAAATCTTTTTCACGCGGATCACGTGGTGGCGGAATTGCTTTTATTCATCGGCGAGGTTTACCAGTAAAGTTCATCTGCGGTGGTCCATCGTATCGCACATTTCAATCAGCCACTGCTTTCATCAGATCAGAGCAACTTACCTTCCGTGTGACATGTATCTATCGACCGCCACCTAACAAGAAAAATAAATTTACAAGTAAAGAATTCTTCATAGAATTCCAAGATCTACTCTTTCAACTAGAGCAAGCTGCCTCCCCCTTTTACATCATAGGGGATTTCAACTTTCACTTTGATGTTCCATCTGTTCCAGACACCAAACGCCTTGTTTCAATTCTTGATGATCATAATCTACAGCAGCTAATCAAAGAGCCGACACATCGTAGTGGTCACATTTTGGACCTGCTAATTACCAACACTGCTGACCAACATGTTCTTAAACATCAGGTTTTAGATAAGGCTATCTCTGACCATTCTCTTCTGATAGCTAACATTAACATCTCCAAACCAAAACACGTAAGAAGAAGCATACTTTCAAGGAACACGAGAACAATAGACACACAGGCACTTCGGGACGACGTAAGCAAAACACTGACAAGTCTATCCTCCCTAGATGCAGACACATTTCATGACACTCTCAAAGCGGCAATCGACCAACATGCGCCAATGGTAAAAAGAAACATTTCTTCGAGACCCTTTTCTCCTTGATTTTCACTTGAAATCAAAGAGGCCAAGAAACATCGACGTCAGGCAGAACGCAGGTGGAGGAAATCAAAACTTCAAGTTCACAGAGACATCTTTATTAACCACCGAGACAAAGTCAACTCAATCATCGAAAATAACAAGAAAAGATACTATCTACATGAATTACAAGATGTTAAATCACCCAAACAACTCGTTCAGACTACCAATGCTATTCTGGGAAAAGAAACAATATCTCCTCTCCCCTCTGCAACATCAGATGACGAACTTTGTAGTTTATTTGTGACTTTTTTCAATGACAAAATTAATACCATACGCTCTTCTCTCGACCTAGAGCCAAATGGAAATTTGGAATTTTCAGAATTTACTGGACAAATATTAGATTCTTTTAGTCCAGTTACAAGTAGTGATATTTTAAATTGTATTAATGGGTCAACCATAAAAACATGCGACCTTGACCCAATGCCTGCTCATGTATTCAAAACCTGTATTGATATTGTCCTACCTCACATTACTCAGATAGTGAATATGTCACTTGCCACTGGCACAGTACCTAATACTTTCAAACAAGCTATTGTAAAACCTTTATTGAAAAAACCCGGGCTTGATAAAAATGAATTTAAAAACTATCGACCAGTTTCGAATTTGCAATTTGTCTCAAAAATTCTAGAGAAGATTGTTTTAAGTCAAGTTTTGTCTCACATGAGAAAAAATGGTCTTGAGGAAATTTACCAATCTGCCTATAAAACTCATCATAGTACCGAAACTGCGCTTTTAAAAGTAACGTCTGATTTATTGGATTCCATTGATAGCAAAAACATCTGTCTTTTAACTCTTTTGGATCTGTCCGCAGCTTTTGACACAATTGACCATGCTATTCTACTCACAAGACTTGAGCGCTCATTTGGCTTATCGGGTACTGTGCTTTCATGGTTTAAGTCATATTTACTAGAAAGAGTTCAGTCAGTGCAAATTAAAAATAGCTTTTCAAAGCAGGTCAGGCTCGATTATGGAGTTCCACAGGGGTCCGTTCTTGGACCAGTGCTCTTTACACTATATACACAGCCCTTAGCAAGCATTTTACAAAATCATGGATTGAATTATCATATTTATGCCGATGATTCCCAAATGTATGTTAATGGCACCATTCAAGATCTACCAAACATGATTTCCATCACTAAACAATGTTTTTATGAAATCAAAAAGTGGATGACAGTAAACAAATTGAAACTAAACGAAGAAAAGACAGACATCATTCTTATAAAAAATCCACGATTAAATAAAGATCTGGAAAGTGTCAACTTTGATTTATATGGGCATATGACATCTAGTAAAGAAGTTGTCAGGAATCTCGGTGTATATATTGACCACCACTTATCAATGGGCTCGTTTGTAGGATCTCTGTCCAAATCCCTTTATTTTCAGCTGAGAAGGATAGGCCTAGTTCGAAAGTACTTAAGCGAAGAGACCACAAAAACACTGGTAACATCTCTTATCCTATCTAGATTAGACTATTGTAACTCACTCCTAGCAGGTCTGAACAACAAATATTTGAATCGTTTACAAGTAATTCAAAACAATGCCGCTAGACTGATAACAAGATCTAAAAAACGAGACCATGTCACTCCATTATTAAAAGAACTGCATTGGCTCCCTGTAAAAGAACGAATAATATTTAAAATCTGCGTCATGTGTTTCAAATGTGTAAATAAAACTGCTCCTTTTTATCTGCAAGAACTTATCAGTATATATAAACCAGGGAGAAACCTAAGATCATCGAACGATAACACCCTACTTGTGACACCTGTAAAATCATACAAATCATATGGAGAGAGATCTTTCTCATATCTTGGTCCATTTATGTGGAACAGATTACCCATGAAACTAAGACAAATAAGAACACTTGATAGCTTCAAAAGACATCTTAAACATTTTCTGTTCCTACAGGCCTATCCTTCATAAGCTTTTAACGTTAGCTTTCATTATATTTGTTCTTTTCCTATGTCTGGATGAAAATAGTCTCTGTGTGTGTGTGTGTGTGTGTGTGTGTGTGTGTGTGTGTGTGTGTGTGTGTGTGTGTATGTGTGTGTGTGTGTGTGCATTAATGTATATTGCGTGAGAAGAAAGGAAGTAGTAAGAAAGGTTTTTGAAAAATGGGTATTCCAATGTAAAGCGCATTGAGCTACTTTTTTTGGAAATGCGCTCTATAAATGTTATATATTATTATTATTATTATTATTACTATGCATTGAATTAAACTCAACATAATCCTATTGCTGGCTGTCTTCTTGCCTATAAAAAGTCTTGAATCTGACACGGTGACACCTCCTAATAATATTACAATCACATTTAATTGCAGAGCTATCTTTCCATGGGTCTTAGCCAAAGGTCTCTGGATTGGCAGCATTAAATATCAGAAAGTCATCAACATATAAAAAAATTATAAAGAGCTGTCTCTATTTTATTTCGGAGGGCCTTTGTTTTCTTGAGTAAAGAGAAGCATGTCGACACAATAATGGTCATTTAGTGCTGAGAAAAAGGAAGACAGACAGACAGAAACAAAAGAGCAAAAGTAAAGAAGTAGGATCTACCAGTGGCACCCTCCAAACACCCACTTGGAAGGTCTGAATGATGGAATTCAATTTTATTTCAAAGAGGACAGGGGAAAGGATGCTTCCCTGGGGAACATCATCCTCCTGTTGGTGAGAACCTGATAAGGAAGATCATCAAACACGAGCCTGGGAAGGAACAGATCTTTGAAAATATCCTATGCAAAGGCAGAGAGGTGACGGCATAGACTGTCAGTGTGCAGGTCTCGAAGGAAATCGTACTTCCACGCTGTGTCAAAAGCTTTTTCTACGTCGAAAAAGTTAGCTATCATAATGCATCTATCCTAAGGACTTTTAACTTTATGGGGTGGATTCTCAATCCAACAGACTCTGATAGGCGTTTAAAATTGTTGTCTTTGCTTGCATCTGTTCCTGAGTGTGCGACAGAAGCACCAAGTCATCTGCAGAGTCCAGATCGTCCAGCTGTGTCCACTGTATACCATTTGTTGCCAGATTGAACAGGCCACCTTTTCCGATTGGTTGGTAGGCGCATGACTGCTGACCTAGAATCAGTGTATACATGGATGCATACACTGTTCGGAAGGCTGCCTGCTGTTTGTAGTGCCACAAGCATGTCAAGCACTGTGTCGAGAGCTACAAGCTGGAACAATACCGGCCCGCAGGTACACGCTGGTCGAGTTCAGTATCACCGGTCTTGATCAGTATTCCACTTCCTCCATACTCAGTACCGTGCTCAGCTGAACCGTCAGTCCAGACTTCTACATCGGGCAGGGGAGCGAACGAATTGTAGCCTCTGCTGCTGCTTCCCTGACAGCTGGTTCATTAGCACGCTTGCAGTCGACGACAAGATCTGTGCTAAAAGTCACGTTGTATGATGCAGCCTTCCACGGTTGTGTGGGGGGTAAAACAACCAGCTCCTCACGTGGATACGTATCCAGTTCAGTTTCGGCTACGAGGTTCTGAGCATGCTTTCTCCAGTTCGACTTGCCTGTCCGTGTGGGCACTGATTTTGTTGAGGAGGCTTTGCGTTGGTTCGTTGCAGGCAGACGCATGGACTTCTCGAATGAGATGGCAGTCAAGGCATCAGCTCTATGCCTTAGTGGTAAAATGTCTGCTTCGATGAGAAGGCTATCCGCACGAGTATCCTTTGAGCAGCCTGTGATGATTCTTGCTGCTTCATTCTGCTTTCTTTCCAGTTTCTGCAGGTTGGAGGGTTCGGCAAGAGGCATGTAGGCAGGGGCACAAAAGTTGATAGCTGACCGACAAGTAGCATAATATATAGTTTTATGCATTCCCTTGAGGCACCTCAGGTGGTGCCTGAAAGGGCTTTCAATGGACGAAGTCTGCTTGACAGTTTTAGCTCAAGGTTTTGGATGTGGGCGTTGGAGGATAGAGTACGATCAAGTGTGACCCCAAGTAAGGTGGGGTTGGAGTTGAAGGTGATGGGGAGCCTTTGAGTGAGAGTGCTGGTTTTCGCTTGGCCTCCTGGGTGCTGGTGGTGAAGAGGGTGCACTCTGTTTTCTGCACACCCTCTGTCAACGCTCTGAATGTTCCATCCACTTACAGTGGATTCCAGGCCACGCTGGACTGGCTGGGAACGAGGAAGTTGACAGCATCGCCAAAGAAGCAACAGCGCTTACCCAGATTGACACGCCAATCGATTTCTCGACGTCTAAAGCCGTCATCCACCGATCGACTCGCGCAAAGTTTGCCCAGCCGCCGTCATACCAGCTTGAGGCCTCGCTCAGACAACAGGACGCCGGCTTCTCTCCCAAATGAGAACTGGTGGAAAATCGCCCAAGCTGAGATCATATCTCCACAAAATTGCGCCAGCGGACAACCCAGATCCGTCCTGTTGAGCCTGCAAGGAGGAGGACGAAACTATGGACCATGTGTTCCTGAGATGTCCCGCCAGCTATCGTGCTAGAACCGGTCTGCTGGGACATTTCAGTAACCCACTTTCAGCACTTTTCAAGGACCCCCGAGCGAGTGTTGAGTTCCTGCGTGCTGTCGGCATCGCTGACCGTTTATGAAGCCACAGCGCCAGAAAAGAGAGAGAGAGAGACTGTATACCATTTCAGTGTCCTCTGGTGGTTTCCTTCATCAGCCAGTCGACTGCCAAGATAAAGAGAAAAGGTGATAGTAAACATCCCTGTCTCACACCAGTTTTGATGTCAAAGCTGTCAGAGAGCTGGCCATCAGGCATAACCCTGCAACTTGTCCCTTCGTACGTGCTCCCGTCTATACTGCTAGGTCTATACTGTCAAAGGCCTTCTTATAGTCAAGAAAGTTGACGATCAGCTGGGACTACTCCAGGAACTGTACCATTATAATGCAATCAGGTCCGTGGTTGACCGATTTTTCAGAAAACCCGCCTGTTCATCCCGTAGTATTGGATCCGTTGCAAACTTGATTCTCTCCAGAATGATTCTGTTGAAGACCTTTACCAGGTATTGAGAGAAGAGTAATTCCACGGTAGTTGCTGCAGTTGCACAAGGTGTCCTTCTTTCCAATCTTTTGTGAACTTGCTCTCATTCCAGATCCTGGTAAACAATGGGAGAAGGAGGTCTGCCGCCACATTGAGATCTGTTTTTAGGGCCTCAGGTGGAATCGGATCAGGACCAGCCGCTTTACCGGCTTGTTCATCTTCTTCATCTAATGATTCATGGAATCCCAATACAAGAGACCTGTTTTTCGAAAATGGCCGAAAAATGATTTGATGTCGACGTCAAATACAGAGACATTCGGTTGTCTAGGCATGCCTTTTGCAAACTGTGTAGGAGTGTAGGCTGCAGCAAAAATGGCAGGAGTTCTGCGGAGGGCTGGCACTTACCGTGACAAGGTCCACTGAGCAAACTATACAAGAGTTAGGGTTAAGGGTTACGGTTTGTATACCCCGCTCAAAATACCCCCTCTTTCATGTCTTGTTGGTCGGCCGGCCCTCTGCGGAACAACTTCCGCGAAAATTTCCCCTTGTGGAGGTTTGCCTGTCAGCGTGTTTTGCGGATCGAAGCCTGCGTTTAGAAGAAGTGACCGTGCGTTTGAACATCTAAATTATATATATAGAGTAAAAAACCCATCATATGATGGTAGCCAACATTTGGAAAGAGTTCCACAGAGGGCCGGCCAACAATCAATACGCAAAAGAGGGGATATTTTGAGAGGGGTATAGCCTAACCCTAAACTCCTAAACCCTAACTCTTGTAGATTGCTCAGTGGACCTTGTCACGGTAAGTGCCGGCTCTCTGCAGAACTCCTCCCTTGCGTTTGAGCGAAGCGTGCTTTTGTATGGCATGCATTTAGGTTAGGCAGTGACTACTGAACTGTACTAGATCTAAGATCTAGTATTACTGGGCACTGGGCTAGCCTTATTTTTACCTGGACAGAGGAAAGGGTATTTTTTTACTTTCCCTCCCGTCTCACACTCAGCTACCAGTTGTCTATTTTCTACTAAATATTGATGCACAGAACACGAATATCAACTTCATTTCCGTTGCAAATTAATAGTTTTTGAAATATTTGATTGTTTTTAAGCGAAATAGACGTGCTTTGGACCAATCGGGGGGTTCCAGGGGGGCCTGAATGCCCCCCTGTTTTAAACCATAATTTGATATTTTACAGTTAGATTTGAAATTGTCTTGAAAATAATTGATTTGCGACGGTTTTAGTGGCTTTATGTGTGATCTGCAGCAAACAGTACTGCGGTTTGACCCCTGAAACAGTGCATCTGTGTGCGGGAGTGAAAGTAAAAATTTACTGAGGAAAGCCAAGGCAACAGAAACTAATGTAGATATCTAGTCGCAGTTGTCGGTGGAGACAACCAACTGATCATTGATGATTTACTTTTATAAAACCAAAAAAGTAAAAGTAAAGTAGATCTACAAATAGAAAGACTTAGATCTAGATCTAGATAGATCTAGATAGTCTAGATATCTAGATCTAAGTCTACTTGTGATCTAAAATACCAGAGTCCCACACTCACACAGTATATAATCAAAGATTCTCTTTTACTTTTAGTTTTAGTCTAATAAGTACTTACTATAAATGATAGATCAAGAGACTGTTACTTCATTTAAATTTAATATACCTCACGAACGGCTTGAGTTTCAGAGGCTTTCGAGTCTGCCATATTTGTTACGGTAAACTTCCAAGTTAGGGTCAGATGGAGTGGAAGGAGGTAGACTGATGGATGGCCCGATCATCCGATGGCTGTCTGTGGTGATGTGAGTGAGTCAGTGAGTGTGACTCTAATAATCTGTGCTGTGAGTGAGAATAGGGTAGGCCCAGGCTACGATCCTTGTTTTTAAAGGGAGATCACATGATCCCCAGAAACGTACTAATTATAGATTTCTAAACAAGAATCCAGCAGGGAGGATTTTAGATTGATAAAAGAAGAGTGCTATAATTAGAGAACTGGAGATGAATAATCAATCATGAATTCTTCAGACATAAAAGACTATTCCTCGGTTCGAAAAAAATTCAAACTCTGAAAACAATAAGATACTGCTTTGAATCATAAAGCCTGTGTTTGGCTGATTTGCGTTTTGTACAAAAGGGGGAGGGGACAAGAAACTCCAAGCCTCGTTTTCGAAGTGTCTCCGTGTGCAACTTGTGTACATGTTGGTTTTCCAGATAAAGCGGAAACGTGAAGTGGTGTGAAGAAACAGCGCAGCTCTATTATAAAAATTATTACTTTGCAAATATGAAAACAAATAATGTATAAGGAGCGTTTTTAAAAAACAGAACTACAAATAAAGGCTATTTAAATCCAAAAATAGCTTCAATTTTTGTCGAACAATGTAATTTATCTAAATTTGATATTTTTTAGCTAGACTTTTCTAGTAAATCTGGAGAATCACTTCCCTGTGTCGTCGTTCGAGCGTTGCACAGGTAGGAGGGACAATCTAATATTTATTTATGACGATTTATAATTAACATAATTTATTAATTTCTTAGTTGGCTCTATGGGGAAAGCCCCTTTTAGTCAATAAGTGAAATGCAAAGATGTATTAGACCAAATTGGGTTGTGGTCAATGCAAAACTCATCTCTGGAATTGGTCACGTCGATAGCCTGATTTTGATTTTTGAGGAATTTCATGCAGTCATCCTATTTCCGGCTGAAATGAGAAACTCCTGTTCAGCTGATTTTCAGCAATTATCATAATTTATAGATCTATTATCTATACTAGATCTAGATGTAGATCTAGAACAGAAGTACCTCTTCTACCTTTTTTTAAGTAATCATGATCTAAATTACTTGTGTTTAGGGCTGCTCTTTGATATAAAGTAGCTTGGTTTGTGGTTGAGTAGGCCTAGCCTGAGATATCTGGCTGGTCGGCGGAGCAGTTCTAGATCTAGATATCTAGATATCTAGATCTATTGACGAGAGCTGGATGCGCTCATCAGCCTCTGGTCGCTCGTAAATTATTACTCAGATAGCGCTTACCTGGAACTGGAAGTGCCGTGTGCTCAAAACCTACTCACGCACACAGGTTCTGAGCGCATTTAACTAGATCTAGACAACTTTTTGGCCAAGTAAAGGATCGTACGTATTAAATAAGAAAGGGATTAGACTATTCTAGGCTACTGTTTTTGAAAAGGTCAGTGAGGGCTCCTGACCTTTGCCTGTCTAAATCTAGATCTCTAGATATGATTCTAGACTGAGATCTAGATCTACATCTACACCTATATCTAGAGAGATCTAGATATTTTAGATATCTAGATCTAGATCTAGATCTAGATATCTAGTAGAGGATCTAAATTCTAGAGCTAGATCTATATAGATCTAAATCTCTAGATTAGTACCTGTTATATAGATCTAGATTCTAGACTAGATCTAGATTCTAGATTAGATTTTATTTATTGGTAATATTTATTTTGAGAAAGAAAAAAACGGCGCTTTTTCGGTAGGCTAGTTCCCGCCCCGCAATTGTATTCGCCGGTTTTGGCCCCAAGGGTAGGGGGGGTTCAGGGGGCTTGCTCCCCTGACCAAATAAAAAATATGGTGGGGGTTTCAGGGGGGGG